TGCATTAGATTGAACAAACAGCAGTTAGCAGTATCATACTGTCTTTAATAAGATAGTACGTAAAAATTTTAGGAACAGTCCATCAATGAGAAGTGATTTCTCCATGATCATCCAGAAAGGTCTCTGCCAACCTTGTACCAAGGGCAGTCAGGAGTCTCATGTTGTGTAAGTGGTCTGTGTTACATTCTGCTCCCTGTATGAACTGCAGACTTCACAGCAGGATACTTTATCTTTGATTGCAGCATTCATGTCTGGCAAGAATAGGACATCTCAAACACTGTTTTTACACTTTTCAACACCCAAATGGGAACTGCAGTTTATGTTTGCTATGTCTCACCTCAGGTTGTGTGGTACTAGAATATAGTCTTTGTGCAGAGACCCATCCTTAGCGGCAGTTTTGTACAGCTTAATATGGAAGTCATGTGGCCTTTTTGTTAATGACCACACATTTAAAATCTCATGTAATATCTAAAATGGCGGCGTCTATGGGTCTTCTGAGTTTCTTAACTGAGCCTTTTAAATTTTGCTTTAGAAGCATACAGCAGGGTAGGTTTACTTTTTTCTGTACTGTAGATCTCTAAAGAAGCTATTTAAAGCATTTCTTCTGTGAAATGCCTGTTGTGGGTAAATACCAAGTGTTAAGTCCATTTTATAAGGGGTTATATTCAACTTTCTTTGTCACAGCACCTTGCTGGGACCCAGTGAAGGTCACAATCTGGGCCTGAGTCACCTATTGAAAAGTAAGCAAAGTAGCACACTTTGCCAGCTGCAACTGGCATTGTGGTTAAGGGTGTTAAGGGAAAGGGTGCCACCGCAGTAGCTAAGGAAGTGACTTGGGGAGGGCGTGTTTTTGTATATTCTCTCCAGGAACTGTTTGCCTGAAGTCTACAGGGTGAAAAATGTTCTCTGTAATGTTGCTGGCAGTAATTTGCAGTCATTTCTGGTACAAATGGACACAGCTCTGTTCTATTTATGGAAGGTTCCTGTAATGTGTGCAGGTCTCCTGCTGACTTCAGTGAAGCTGTGCCCACTTACAAGGCTTGTGAACCTGGCCTGTGAACTCTGCCAGTCACTCATCAGGTCTGAGATACAAAGCCAGCCTGAAAGCTGTCAATATTTATGTAATTATGCCTGAAGATTGCTATCTTGGGGTGAGCTCAGCAAGGGAGATAAATTTTGCATGCTCAGACCAAAGCTAGTAACATTTAAGTACTTAATTTTTTTTTCCTGGAATATTTGTCCATTAACTTTAATGAAGCTTTTTCTAGGCTTACAAGTCTGAAGAGAGCTATTAAACAAAAGGGAGAGAGCTTGCTTGCCAGGCATTTTCTCTGCTCTCTTGGTTCTGTTTCTTTATGGCCAGAGAAACACTTTCAGCCATATGTCTTTAAAGCAATGCTAACACTTAGTGAACAGTTAAGTAAATCCTACTTGTTAAATTCTTGTGGCTGCATTATGCTGGGAGCCTTACTCTAAGGACCCTGTTCCATCATTGCTTGTTTTGTTCCACAGTAAATAAAATTACTTGGATAGGTTACACAGATTGGTGATGCAGGAGAAATCCTCTTCTGCCACTGAAAGGTGGCACAGTGCAAAACTATAATTGTTATTTTCCTCTTTGGTAAAAGGTAAACCAAGAAACTTGTTTGATTTCCTTGGCCTTGGGTTAACAGGGCAAAGTCTGGATGCAAGCCAGGCTGTAGATGGCTGCCTTTACTTGTGGCTCCCAGTGCTGAAGTAGGAGTCAAAGGGTTTGTGCAGGATTTGCTTCCTTAGGCTGCTTCGGTTTGCACTTGGACCCGTGGAATTAGAAAACTAAATGGCACTGAGCCAGTTTGGATGCAGTATCTCACCTCCATGGCACCTGCAGTGCCCCCTTCCCATCCCAGTGGTGGACAGAAATGTCCCTAAAAATCTTACACGTTCATGTTTGGAATTCCTGAGCTTCCTCAGGACAGAAACTGCGACTGCTGATGTCTTTCTCCCAGACCAAAGAGACAAATGATGCCTGTGTCCATTTGCCTGCCTTCTCTGCAGGGTGTGTGTTCCTCCTGTAGCCCTTGCGCTTACCAGCCCCTGACTCCCTTCACAAACACCAAGGTACCACATTTATCTTTTACTCTTTGGTAGGATTAAGGCCTGTGCATTCCGGATGTGCTCCAGTTTAAAACGAGCACCTAATCTGTACCCATATCATCACTGTTATAAGATTGCCAAAAGAATGCCTGAGATTTCTTTGTATACCGTATCTCTTGTTGCAATTACAAAATACTGTTCAGAAGTCATAGCTCAGGAGTTCTGGCCTTATTTCTCTTACAAATTGCTTATATGGATTTTTCTTGCTTGAAAATTAATTGACCATACAATAAACTATTTTCCCTTGAGCAGGGACTATTCTGTTTCCTATGACGTTACAGTAAGCTGTCTTTGGGCCAAATATTTAAAGGTATTTAGGTGCTTAAAGATGCAGGTAATGTGAATTTTCCGAAATACCTAGCTGCCTAATACACAGTGATTTCAGTGGGAGTTGCCATCTAAGAGCTTCTAAAAATCCCGCTGTGCACCCATCTGCTTCTTTAAGCACCTGAATTCCTTTAAAAAACAGGTCCTTCCCTCCAACAGTGGAGACACATTTTATTTTTCTTAATATATTAAGAGCTTCTTAATACAGTTTCTTGGATATTGCCTGCCACCTTTAAGTTATTTTCATTGTTTTGATTATGATGTCAAATCTAGTTGATGATTGTGTTTATGCAGTTCCAAGCAGAGCATGGGCACACAGCATCTATCCTTTATGACATGAACTTGGCACAGTATCTTATACTAATAAATCAGGGCTAAGAGGTTTGTAGGCAAGCAACTGTCAGGAAGTTACTGCAACTTTTGCAGTATATTAAGTGATCTGTGTTTTGTTCTAACTTTTTAAACCCTCTTTGAAAACCAGTATTCTGTTTCTCATTAGTTGGTCTTTGATCCGGTGAAAATATCAGTCCCTTGAGTTAATATTTCATCTGACTATAGGGCCATGTAATTTGCTACGACACTAAGTCAATAGGTCTCTGCTGGCTTACCCCAGCAGGACTTGTATGTGTAGGCAAAAAATTCTCTGCAAAACATGAATAATGTTGATCTAATCAAGAATTTATTTCTTTGGTTAACCAAAGGAAAAAAGTGGAGTGTGAACATCAGTCCATCTAGACACAAAAGGAGCCTGAGGGAAAGAAAACATTTCACTTTGTATCAATTCATAGTCTCAATTTAATACATAAACAGGAGTGTCAGGACATGTGCATCTTGCAGAGCCACAGAAATAGCAGAAGATTGATTTATCATTATTTACCGGCTTAACCATCTTATTTGTGTGCTTTCTATTATCGTCTACTTGGAAAGCTCAGACAGTCCTTCTACATTAACCTCTACCTTCTGTCATCATCTTTCCCTCTGGCCACCCTATGCTACATTCTGAAATTTTAATTTCATTCCACAAGGTGCTATAGAATGAAAATAAACATTCGTCTGTGGAGAGTTTGCTATAGTCTAGAATATTCAGTTTGGTTTAAGCTAATTAAAAAACATTCAACCAAAATTGCACTTTTACTTTTTAAGGCTTTTCCAGGGATATTTCATTCTGTGATCTCCAAAGGAGCGAAGCATTTACGAATATGCATTAATCCTCACTGGGAATTGATCCAGAGCTTGTTTTAAGCAAATGCTTAAGTGGTTTGTTGAACTGGGGCCATAGCTGCCCAGGCCCATCTCTGGCTGAGCCTTAATTGAGCAATGTGAACATTTGAATTCATTTACTTGTACTTGTGGGGTTTGTTATACATGTATTTTTAAATAGCAGTTGATGAGATTTATAAGAATTTGTGCACATATTTGGATCCATTGTGTGAGAAAGGGTCAGATCTTTGATATAACTTTGCAAAAAAAAAAAAAATCTTTAGTTCACTAGCTGCCTGATCCTGTGTCTAAAGGACAAGTAAATATTTTATTATATTTTCACCAAGCTGAAAAAAAGACTTTATCTGATTTTGGCTTGTTTTTTTTTTAATTTTATTTTACGGCTTCTGTTTCTCTCTTGGGTATGCGTTAAAGAAGAGCCTTGTTGTAGAGGAACCTCCTGCTCTGGTTGATGTGTTAGCATATCAGTGACCCACTGCAGTTCATTCATGAGTTTTCAGCTCTGACAGGTTGAATGCCCAGAGTGGTCACTGATTAGACTGCCACTCCTAATATTCTCATCCCTGCAGTTATCAAGCAGGAAAATAGTGACAAGTAAATCTAAGCACCGTGGGAAATGCAGAGTCTGAGAAACCATGGACTTGTAGCATCTTATGGCATTTACTGAGGCTGCAGTGGCGTTCAGTGTGATAGCACAATAGTCTGGATCAGGAGAGGAATCCAAATCTTGGCAGATAGAAGGCAAATCGCACATCACATTTGCAACTTGTACATTGCTGCATGATGCCTTAGGGGGAGGAGAAAAATTTCAGAGTCCTGGGTGATTCCTTTGAGCTTGGTTGTTTTGTGTTGAGTTGTGCTACTGAAGAGATCTGACCCTGAAATTTCAGGGCCACCTCCTGAACTCCAAAACCTCTATTCATCAAGACAAAACTCTTAATAAAGTCACTGGGAGTTTTCCTCAGACTTAGGGATATTAGAATTTGATGATCCTTTTTTTTTTTTTTTTTTCTTTCTTCTCAAGAGGATAGTTAAAGCATATTTATCACCATAAATGGTGAATTCGGTCCTGATGGAAGAAATTGTATTTTTCCTGGCTTTAAAGAAGAGGAACTAGGCATTTTACTGTTTAGAGCATTTTCAGACTGACATGTTGTAAAATGAGATTGGTTTTCATTTCACTTGGGTAAATTTCTTTTTGCACCTGTTTTTCTTTCCCTGTATTTGTTCAGATTTGGGTCCCACTCCTGCTGTTGTCCTGCCTTCTTGATGAATATCCAATCCAAGGAATATTTTTAATTCCCAGGCTCCATAGATTCCCTGGGCCAGTACATGAGGCTGAGATACATGCAGTTGATCAGGGCATTCACCTGGGATGTGCTGAAGCCAAAATCACATCAGGTAAAACTCCAAGTTCAATCTGGGTCTCCTGTGTCTCAGGTTAATATAGTAATGTCTTTATTCTCTATAGCTTTTTTTCCTGAAAAGTCTGTTAGAGTTCCGAAAAATATTTCTCTGACCTTCTTCCTACTGAAAAAAGGAAAAAGAAAAGAAAGTGCAGGGTTCCATTGATTGGTATTTTCTAGTGATATTTTTTTTTGTCAGAATACTCCTGATTGGTTGTAGCTGCTTTCTTAAAAGCACCTTTACTTGGGCTTTTGTCTAAAAATACAACTTCTCATTAGAATATAGGAAGTACCACGTACCTTTAACAAACGAGGAACATGCTTCTGAAGTCACACACATCTGAACTAGGTGATCCAATAAATGTGCTAATGAGCAGAAATTAGGAAAATAAACTGCATTTTTGACCAGGTCCCCTGGCTATGGTGAGCATTTCCCTGTATTTCTTTCCCATCTTTTTACCCTGCTCAGTGCTGTGTTTTTAAGCTCTGTGGCACAGTTCTGAAGTGTAGCTCTAGTGAGTCCATTCTCGGTCCTCTGGGTACACTTTTATCTACAGCCTTGATCAGGGCTGTGGCAGCTGCCCTGGTGACTGGGGGAGAGATGCTGTGTAGCTGTGCACACTCTTGTGCTTCCCCATCGTGTCACAGAGAGTTTGAAAGCCACATTGGACCACGCTAATGGTAGACAGAGAGCAATTCTCTGTGCTTTACCACACACAGAGAAATGAGCAGTCCTCTGTGCTCCTTTGAAAGTAGCAATACTTTAAACTCCAGATGGAGCTGGCCAAATCTGCAAACTCCATTTTCTCTTGGAAGCTGAGGACTTTGGTAAGAGCCGGGTATCAGTATCCGGGCATCCATGTTTGATTCCGTGTGCAAGTGAGCAGCTTCACACGCATGCATATGAACTCCATTATAGCACCAGACTTGGTGGAAGGATAAAACAAATAAAAAAGCTAACAATTGGTCTTAAGAAGTTCTGAAATGAGCTAAGCCTTACCTTCTTTCCTATGTTGTAACCACAAATATTCCACTATTTTGTGGGGGATGTTAAAGTGTTTGATATATGCAAAATTCCCCATGTTTAGTATTTACTCTAACTTCACAGTCCTCATGAAGTCAGTCTGAAAAATTTTCATAGCTGTACCCCCAGGTTATGTGATATGGCCTGTAGCCTGTCCTGTCTCTTTTGCTCCCTACAGGTCATAATCCTTCCAACTCTTCTCCAGCTTTCATACCTCCACTCCCCCTCCATGAGGGAGGGAAGGGGAAGCCAATGATCAGGACAGAAATCTTCAACTTGAATAGTAAAAACCAGACAAAGACAGGGCCAAGGTAACTGATAAAACATGGCATGTCATAAATGTACTGCTTGTATGAACCAGTTTCTTTTTTAAATTATCCACCTGTGTAGACATGGGAAAAATATGTATGTCTTGTTGGTTTTGTGACCATATATAAAGTGTTATGCTATTTTTAGAGTGGAGACTGTGTAGTAAAAGTTTGGGGGTTTGGTGCAAGAAAAATAAATTAGAAGTGGAGATAATAATAACGTACAATGTGACGATGGTTTGTCTTGTACTTCCAGATGTCACGCTGAGAAGGGAGGGAGTCCCGTCTGCACACGCCTCTTGCTCAGAGTGTTCAGGAATTTGGACCCAGGTGGCTGGATTCTCCCACAAAAGCTGTGCTGTGCAGGAGGAACATTTCAGGATACTGTTGCAAGCGTGAGTGCATCCTTAATTCTGTTTTTAAAGACAAATCATTTCAAGTAGAGTGAATAGGGCTCATGACACAAACGCAGCTGGATTTCAGTTGTTGATCTGAAATATTCACAGTCCAATATGGTAGAAGCAGATGTTGGATTGGTAGTCATCATAAATGTGAATGATCACATCAGAAATCCCATGTGTAGCTTGTTTGAGAGCAGCAAAGCCTACCTGGCCATCCTTGATTGTGTTCTGGGGTTAAAAATATTTGCTTACACACGTGATGTTAGTCATCACTTGTTTTTTAGGTATAGAAGATTATTATAAACCTTAAAAAGGTTTAGATGCAGACTGTGACAGGAACTGAATTGACTGTCATAATCAGAAATACTTGGTTTGAAAGGAAACATAAAAACCTCTTTAAAATGTTTATTATCATATTTTGTGCATAGTAAGCACTGCTGCAGAGGTCCATGGCATCAAACTTAATATGTTGGTCATTAAAAGACATCAAGCATTTGTGCCTTCTGCTGATTACATAGAGGCTGCAGAACTTCTGACACCTTTGAATAAAACTATCTGAGGCAAGAGAAGTGTAGCTATACAGGTGAGTTAAGGGGGCTCTATAAAGGTCACCTGATTTTTCAGAGGCTTTTAATTTCCACAACATTCTTTCTTTGAATGTGAGTTTTACTGGTGTGAAAACGGCATGTTTGCCCTTCTTTATGTATTTGCTTATTAGTGTATCCATGAAGTGGAGGATGTTGAAGATTATTTTGGATTCTTAAAATACCAATGTGATTGTTTTCCAGAGCAAAATCTTTCCAGACCCAACATCTTGGACCAGAACTTCTGCAGAAGACAAATCCAGGCCATGTCCTTTTTTTCCCCTCATTGACTCACTGAACATTCAGGTCTAGAAGACCATGTGCTGTTCTTGCCACCACTCCTGGGATAATGGTGCTGTGAAGGGGTTACAACTTTCCAGCAGAATGAGGCTCCAAAGAGGGGTATCAGAGGGTCAGTTTAGGCTCTGTGCAATTTTGTAAGGAGGTGTTAAGTCCTTGGTTGGAGTTCCCTTCCTTGCAGCTCTCAGCTGTGGAATTTTCATGGTTTCCCCATGCAATTCCGCAACTGGAGGATGCACAAGTGTGCATGAAGCTTCTGTTCTTAGGATCGTCCCTTTCTGTGTTGCATTTGGTGACAAGGTGTGCCTACAAGGTGCCAGCGAGGTGCATTGTAGAACCCTGTTTACGATGTTCTAATAGAACTATTTACCAATAAGTAAAATAGCTATTTATGTTAATCTGCAGCACTCATCACTGCATCAGAAACAATCTGTTGTTACAGGAGCTTTCACAACATTTGGTTTCATGAGGATTTTAACACAGAACCACATTTGGAAAGGAAATGAAGAAAGGGACTTCAGTGTGTGACCAAGGATGAGTGCAAGATTACGGGTAAGAGATTAAGCCATCAAGGAGACAATTATACATGGGCTGAAGGTAGGGCATTCATCCCAGGCAGTGGAATAAAAAGAACCAGAGATTTGAGGGAAAGTGAATGATGGGGTTAGACCAATGAAAATTATGCTGGCCACAGTGTTTTAAACAAGGAGAAACAGCAAAAAGAAAAGACAAGTCTAGTCAGAAGGTGAGGAAGTTCTGAGGAAGAGCTGGAGTGAGGGGTAGGAACAATTCAAGTGCATTAGGAAAAATCCACAGGGGAATGTGGATGCCAGGGAATGTGTATGTTTTTGTTACAAAATGTATGTCCTAAATTGAACTATCTGAGTGTTTAAAGTGATTCAGATTTTAGGTTAATTTCCTTTCCTAAGAGAGGATTTTATTTCACAAAAATTTAAAATCATAAAGAAGAAAAAGCAAGTATTTTCCATGGAAGGATGGATGAAACATAAATCTTGAAGAGAACTATAAACTATTGAGACAAGGCAATTTTGCTGGATTATGTAGCTCATATCAGATAGCAATAAATCAATCCTTCAAAGACAAAAGACTATAGAAAGAAGAATAAACCAAAGACTCTCCAAATAACAAAGGCCAGATACACAAAAGTAACTAAGGAGCTGAAGAGGCAAATAGATTCCTGGCAGGATTTTAAATGGGATCATTCAGCACAAGACACTCATCACCTGCTAGTGATTACTGGCGTCTTCAGGCTCCTTCAGGCCCAGACACTTCCCTGACTGAGGTTAAAATTCTCGTCAGCATCAGGGAAACTAACTCAAACCCTTGAAATCTGCATGTTTGGTATAGCATCCCTGACATAAATGGAATTTACCTAGTGGATGGATTTGACCTACTGTGAGCATTGACTATGCACTTCTTAAAATACTGTCTTTACTCATTTGGGTCATCCCACTAAGATGTGAAGTTCTGGACATATTTACCTTGCTTGCTTATCTGGGCCTGAATAGATAGAATAATAAATTTTGACTAAAACTGTGGCTTTCTGGGTATGATGAAAGAATTATAGCAGTGGGTACCAGCCACTAATTCTAGTTAATACTCACTTGCTCTCACACTTTGGAAATTAATTTTCTATACTGCTCATTCCTGAATTTTGGGGAAAAAAAAAAAAAATCCATGCTGTAAATAGCAATATCCTTATCACACTCTGTGGCTGTACCCTGTAGTCCCAGTGCTTTATTGTTCAGATCATCCAGACCTATAACAGCATGCTGTGGTATGTTCCTAACCTGTACTCCTTGGCCTTCTCCCAGTGAAAATCAGAGTATGAGAGATGATTAAGACTTGGGACTCATCCTGACATGCAGGCAGAACAGACACAGGAGCTGGGAACTGTTTGCAGATCCCCATGCTAGAAGTACTGGGGACAGGCCTTTTAGCGGAGCTTTGCTATGCTCATAGTTACATGTTCATCCAGTATCAACTATGGCTGGTTTGTTTGTTGATATTAAATGAAAGGATGACTTGAGTCTTAAACTGTTAAGGGTGTGTTCAGGATATAGAAAGGGATTCCTGTCCTTCCTAAATCAGAAGAAAAAAACATAGATAATAATAAAGAGGAAAAAAAGAAGATAAATTGCTGTACATCTTTTTTTGCCTTTTTTTTTTTTTTTTTTTTAAATATTGAGGGCACAAGACCATGACTGAGAATTACTAGAACATGCCAGACATGGTGAATAAAAGGCAAGCAGGCAATGTTACTGCTGGAACGAGCAGAGATGTGAAAATTCTAGGAAAATTTGCAAGTCTTTATTTGCCACTAGTCTGACAACAGATGATGATGACATAGCTGTGAACATATGTTAGGAAAAAAAAGATTACTATCACAAGCTATGCAGTGATAGGGTCACTGGATATTTTTAGCTCAGGTGCTGGTTCTGGTTGGCCTGTACATCATCTTGCATTGGAAAGTGCTGTTTAGTTCAGTTTCCTCATGGAATATTGCTCCACAGAATATTTAAATGCATTTATTCAGAAAGGAGCCCTGGCATTTGGATACAATATAATTATGATTGCAATCCAAGCCTATACAATTTTAGGTTTGCTTCATCAAAGATTAATATTCTGTTTGCTTGTACTTTGCACACTTACAGAGTTCAGCTAGGCAAAAAAAAAAAAAAATATCAGAGTGCACTTCTTACAAGTGAAATGGTCCTGTGAGTGGTTCTTTCAAGTCCCTCTCCCCTTTGGCAGCAGAGAAGTGCTTTTTTCATTTCATGTCTTATGATGTGCAATACTTAAAACAGGGCAGCATGGAAATAAGTCTTCCTGGCTTAGTTCAAAATACATTTATCTGTTTAAAAGAGAAAGAGATTCTTTTCCAAAAGCTTGTCTATACATTAATCCTGCCCAAGGGCACATTTGATGTATGCTTTCACCATTTACATGGCTTTTATACACAACTGCTTCCTTTGGTAATGACTAAAAAAATGAATTTTTTACCAATCAGTCAAGGACTGGACAGTGAAGCATGAGACTGTCCACCTGCTATTCCTGATAATGTTTTCTTAAAGAAAACACCTTACTGATGAGTTCTTCTCCACACTTCTCTCAAAGCATGATTATTCAACTGAGGAAATGTATTTCTGGTCTCACTGTTTACTCTTTGCTCTTCCTGCTAGTATGATCCCATTTTTTTTCCCCTCCTTCCCCCCAAAAAAAAAAAAAAAAAAAAAAAAAGCCGTTTGCGAATGGCAAATCAGTCCATGGGGACTGCTTGGATTTTAAGGGCAGCTGCTGTTCTATGTATCTGGTGTGTCACTTTCTGTTTTGTGCTACTGTTTTATTGCTGCTGTGGGAATGGAGCAAAAATAGCGGCTACTTTAGTTCTGTTGAATAACCATCAATGTGATTCTAGCCGATGTGTCAGTCCCTCACTGGGAAAAAAAAATGTCCATATTTGATATCCACTGCCCTACCCTGACCTGTAAATGAAAATACTAACATGGTAAATAGCTACAGAAAGGCATGATCAGCTAAAGGACTCAGCTGATATTACATAGGTGTGTTGGTGCTGCTCTGCATGTGTGGGTGTGAGAATAGACGTACATCTCCAGAAAGGTTGGTGTAAGTAAATAATTCATAAGGTGCATGCAGTGTATTTAAATGTTAAATACATTGGCTTTCGGACTCAGTGTAACTGTCGAAACCTGCATTTGGCTACAACCATTCGACTGCTGCATATTTAAAGTGAAAACACTAGCAGTCTGCAAATGCTGAGTAAAAATTACACAAGCCCCAATTATTGACAGACCACCTAAGCTTGCCAGTTTATCCCTTTGTGGAGCTCAGATTTCTCTTCCTCCCACGCAGGACTGCTGCTTGTTTCAATTTGAGTGCAAAGTCTTGACTTCAGAAGTGCTGACTCATGAAACGGCAAGGAAGGAAAATTTCTGGTGCTGCTGCGCTGGCTGAAGTCGCGTGGATTTACCCCCCCGTGGCTTCTCCTGCCCTCCTCACTCCAGGCTGCACCCCGCATCCAGCCCCCGCGGGTTGGAAACTGCTGCGAGGAAAAACCACAGAGGTATTAAATACATCTAAGAGCCGCTGGTTAACACGGTTCGGTGCTGAATCCATCTAGATTGTTTCAGCTCTCCTTTCTATTCACCGGCAAAAGTTTATTCTGCATCAAACCAGGCTTGTCACGTACTGAGTCGAAACGGGCTTTTGTTCTACCAAAGGCAAAGCAGCGACGTGCCCGCTGCGGTTTCCTGAACCGGCTGGTTTTCCCCAACAGATGGCACTGCCTTTCTCTCGTAGTTAGCCAAAAGTTTAAAAACATTCGGTTAAAAATAGATGCCCCACATTCTTAATTGGCAATCCTTTTTCTAGTTATTGTTAGGCACAAATCAAACGCTGTTTAGCTCTTAGGCAAGCTCAATGCACAATACATAAAAGCATAATGTAAAACACCCAGATATTTTCTTATTCTGTTCTGTATCTGCTTGTTATACTAGAAAATACTGAACAATTTGTATTTTGCCACTAATATCTTCAAAACCTGAGTTATTATAAAATGTTATTTTTTCTATTATGAAGATAGACTCTTTTAGTTTAGTCTTAAATCTTG